GAATCTTAAACTTATTCAGATTATGTCAATATGACTACTAGCCTTATTATTAAGTCTTTTGTTTTAGGATTCATATATTGAAATATATCTATAAATCTTAGATCTTGAACTGTTATAAAGAAATTATTCTTTTTATATGTAATTATTTTTATCCAGGATAAAGATGATCGATAGTCTGTGAAGGTATTATATTGAAGTCACCTCCCAGAATCACGTGACAATTGTCATTATTGTGTTGATTAATCTATTTGATGATTTGTTCTTGAACTACCTCTCTATTATGTCCTGATTGTGCTGGGAAATAGACTTTAATAATTTGGATATATTGTTTATTTGAAAATGCTAGATAAATACAGATTAGTCTACTAAGCTTCTTCTAAATGTTGATAACCCTATTTATTAGTGGTCTTTTGATGGCAATATTGATACCAATGCCTTTAGATTCACTTTTCCACTATGTTATATATTTCTTTGTCTTCCACTTGTTCACTGTCTCACTGGTCCTATTAATTTCTGTAGAAATTATTATGTCCCAATTGGCTTCCAACAATGAGTTCATCCATGTTATTCTTTTTATTATATTGCTGAGACCTTGACAATTGCAGGTTGTTACCATAAAATATGATTTTGTTTCAGTGATATGTTCAGAAATTTGTGTCTATCTGTATTATTTTGTATTGGTTGAGTATGTATTTGTTGGTATTGGGAGAGGATGGTATATTGTTGTATTGTTGATTGTTTTCTGTGTATTGTTTATATTAACAATTGATGAAGTTCTATTTATTTAATTATTTTTGAAAACAGGATTGGTTTAATTGCTTTGTGTATTACCCATTATTGATAGAGTATAGAATGTTAGAATTGTTCATTGCTAAGAATAATATTTGCAATGGTGAACACTAGTGTATTTATAGTTCTATCCATGTTTTTAATTTAATTGTGTAGTTATTGTTATTGCTATTGAATATTAGTGATGTTGTCCTGCTTGAGAGTTTCTGTGGTTGCTTTCTAGTTTCTATGGCTTATGTCTTCTTCTATATCTTCTACCTGATCAAAACAATATTATTCAAGATTGTTAATCCTACTGTTTGATCATTTAATATCTTCTTAATGGTTTTGGGTTCCAACTAGATCTGCATTAATATACTGTAGCTATGATGTTTTCAAAATGTTTTGTTCATAGAAAATTGGATTGCAATTGACTATTTAAGCATTTGATACCCCTGTTTTTGACTACCATAGCATATGATTCTAGAGATATTATGTATTGATTTGTTATAGGATAGGTGAGTTTATAGATTTTGAATAAGCCAGCTAATTTGAAGTGATTATAGAGTTTTTCAAATCTTTTTGTTTACTTGTGATTGTATTTTTTCTATTGTTTACTATATTCTTTAATGATACAGTTGAAAACAAGATATTGAAGACTAATATATATAGTAGAGCTTGGTTTGAATAGTTTTTGCTTCAATAATAGTTTAATTAAGACTGAATTATTGTTTAAAGGCCATATAAAGTATTTCTTCACTATCAAAACTGAGAACAATATATTTTCTAGGTTTTTATGACATGAACAAGGAATATAACATGTCTTCACTTGTAGTTTCTAATAGTTGTGTCTCAAGTCAAATGCTGTTGCATTGGGTAGAAGGTTTGAAAGTTTAAAAAAATGTCTGCCCTACTTTTCATCTGGTCTAGATCCTAGCAAGTATCAAAAATTCTGATTGAGTTAGCTTTAATGGGAATGTTCTATTTGAAGAGTAGTTTGATCTTATCTTCTTTCTATATGAATATGATTATTATGATCTGCTATATTTGTTGAGTGGTCATCTTAATATTGGTAATTTGTTTGAATTTAACAAATATTTGTTGCATATCTATAAATCTAGTGTTTAAGAAATGTCACTGGTTCTAATACTATTTTCCTTATTGAGCTTATTGATCTTTTTTTGCATGTGAGTTAATCTACTATTATCAGTATCCGAAAAGATAATGTTGCTTATATTGTCTGCAGCTTGTTGGTCACCAAAGATAATAATGATATAATCTTCTTTATTAATGTATTTGTGTTAGATAAGGAGAAGACCTTTTGAGAAATTGAGTGCCTTGGTGATATAGGTGATATTTTGATGAATTGTTTGTTTGAGTAGCTTTGTAACTTTGATATACAATTTGATTTGCTTTCTGCTATATCTTGTCTGATAGTCAAAGATAGGGATTGCAATTTTTATCTGAATCCAAATAATCTGCAGATTTGATTTAAACAGATTAGATCAGATTTTAAATTTTTTGATCCGTTTGTATTTGAATCGAATACAGATTTCAAATTTTGAAATCTAATCTGATCAGATTCTAAATTTTGAAACTAATCAGATTTCAAGTTTTAAAATCTAGCCAGGTTTAAATAAAATTTAGCAGTTTAACTATATTTAAATATAGTTATTTAAGGTAATTAAAAAAAAAAAAACCTGGATTTTTTTTTTATATTCCTTTAATACCTTTACATGTTTCTTTAAAATTTTGTAATATTTTTTATGATATTTTTCTCCTTGCAATATTACTAGTATTATTTATATCAAAAATAAAATGAAATACGATAGTTCTTTCAATGATTCCAATGAAATAAATAATGAAAGTTTCAATTTAAATAGTTATAAATTGAGTAATATCAGTAATGTTACTACAAATAGTTTTTCAGAGGCATCATTGAGTAATAAAATAAATTATAGAAGTAAAGTGTAGAATTTTTTTAAAAAAAATTCCGATTTCAATACAAGTAAAAAAGTTTTCTGCAATTATTGCAGCATCAAATATATCTATAGTAAAGGTAGTACCTCTAATCTTTTCAAACACTTAGAAAAAAATCACCTGATAAAAATAAATCCATATTCTGATAAATCTTTATTAAAATTTTTTTAATACTACAGTGGTCAGTATAAATATATTTATTAAATTTAAAACCATGATAAAATTTATTTTTTATATAGTGGATACATGAACATAAAGAAGTAAAACAAAATCTTATTTGATGAATTGTTATAAATCAATATCCTTTTACAATCGTAGAGGAGTCAGTATTCCATACATTTATCCAATCAATTTCATAAAAAACTAAAATATATACTGCTGAATCTATTAAAACATATATAATGGATTCATACTTGGTTGATCAAGAAAAAATTAAAAAAATTGTACAAGAAGTGGAAAGTAGTGTTATGGGTCACGTGGATGACATGATTTATGTGTAACAATTTAAAATCCAAAAACCTGAAAGTCTGACATGAAAGATTGAGTGTCGCAAGATAAGAAACTATATATAAGGCTCGAGTATAAAAAGTTTAGCAAAGCTTAGGTTAGTATAGCCGATTGTAAAGTAGATAACCCATTGTTAATTAGAAAAGTATAAATAGCTTACCAATGTATGTCGAAAAGGCATAGCTGAATATGTTAGAAAAACAGCCTTTATTGAGAATAGAGATAAGAGTTAGTGATATCATAAAGAAACAGAATGCAATAAAGAGATACTTACCTTCGACCAAGTCAATCACCACACCTCTGCCTTCCTTAGGTGTTCTTTATAGGAGGTGTTTTCTTCTTTGTATCGTTTATGAATATTTGAGAAATGTCTGGATTATGCGAGGTGCTACGGATTAGGGACAGACTCACCAGGATAGCCCATGACAGTAGTATTTCATTTATTCTTGATATTTGGACATCAACTTTGATGAAGGCATTTTTGTAATAACTGCATATTTTATTAGCAGTAATTGGAAAATGTATAATATAACATTAGATTTTGTACAAATCTGGAGCATGCATATAGGTAAAAATATCAAAAAAAGTTTTATATAATGCTTAGAAAAATATATAATACAAAAGAAGATAAATTTATTTTTTTTTTTATCACGAATAAGCATTAAATGTGAGACTTTATTTAAATAAGAGTATTTACTGTCATTACATTAACAATCTTTACAATCGCAAATTAATTGTAGCCTATCGCAACAAATCTATTGATACCAATTAACACCTCAAAGGTGGACTCATGTCAATAGTGTTGAATGGCCAATACCTATTCAAAACGATGATACTATTGCTGGAGTAAAAATTGATTTATGGATATAATTGTGTGAGTTACTTAATAAGGTTATAATAGTGTTGAATGTAGTAATGTTGTTTGTGCTTGAATTTAGAAATTTAGGGCTGCTTGTTTTTTTCCACTTAATTCCAGTGGCTAGTGAAGTTGTCACTGTAACGGAGCACTGTTTCCAGGCCTTGTAGAGAACTTTAAGTATATAATTAGAAATAGTGTCTTTTTTTGGAAAAAATCAAATGGGGGATTGAATTTGCAAGTGGCTAAGTTAAGTAAAGTGTTTTCTGTTAATATAAAGGTATTAATAAAGTCAGTGGATTTTACATGTTTTGGATTGAGATCTAGAATAAGGTTTTCAATTTTTGTTTTCTTTTTAGTGAGTAGAGATTTGTTGTAAGAGCAAGAAAAGATATGTGGTAAATCCTCTGCGGCTGCATTACACCTAGGGCAGATGTTGTCAGGATAATGATCTGGGTTTCGCTTGTGAAGCTTAACTCTAGTTGGAAGTTGGTTGGCTAAAAGTTTGGACCTGAAGGTGGATAGAGCTCTGTATTTAAATTGATCAATGTTTCTAAGTTTATTGTTAGCTTTAATGATGATTTCCAGATTCGCGAAGGATGAGAGTTTGTAGATAGCTAACTTGCTAAGGAATATGTCAAACAAGTTGGTATAATAGTTTATAAATTTGATCCAATCTATTATGCTAGTTGCATATGTATTATTAATTAATGGCAAGGTTGAGAATGTTGAGGGGAAGCAATGGAAAATTAAGGTGTTAATTATGGGAGAGGTGTCGGGAGGTAGTTGTTGATCTCTCAGTTTGTGCCACAGAATGGTAAGATTTTTCGCTGCTATGATAATATTATATTCATTAATAATCCTACTAAAGGGGACTTTGATTTGTCTATTAATATACTCGGGGATGTTTGTGTTGAGGATTGTATATAGATATATATTTATTGTTGATAACTGTGAGATGTCAGTAAGAGTTTGGTAAAAAACTGGCCAAAAAATGGCCCAGAAGTTGAAGTGTAATGTATATGTAAGAGTGAGATCAGGCTTTATGACTGATAAGTTGTTATTGCTTAAGTTGTGATATAGATATATGGTGGAAGGTTGCGTGATTATGAGAAGTGGTGTGATTATTATTTGAGAGATTGGTTGCGTTGCACATGAGAAAGAATCTAAAAGTTCTTGAATGTTGTTGAGTAAATATTTTGAGTTTGCCCATATAGTATGCCAGACAAATTTGAGATCCTGAATATTTTTTTCCTTGATACAAGGTTGGACTGGGCATGAACATAAGATTATTTTTTTATTGCTAAGTTGATAATGGATACCTTTAATAATTGTGGAGGGAAAAGCATTGATGCATACTTTGATGAGATTGATATAGTTATTATCTTAAAAAGCCCAAAATTTAATTTTTGTTTTGTTTGGAAGGAATGTTGTATCGCCGCAGATAGTTACAGAGGTATTTGGGATAGTAGAGAACCAATTGGAAATAGGGCCAGGTATTATTCGTCCTCTGTGTGTATGTAATTCTTCCCAAGTTAGTTTAGTATTTTTTTTGTATATGTGTGTGTTCTGAATAGTTTTAATATTAGAGTAATATAGTGAAAGAGCAGTTGCTTTTGTAAGTTTGGTGTTTAAGCCAATTGAGTTCTTATGGTTAGTATGATTAAACAGGCAGGGGAGTGGACAGATTCTGATATTATATCTCTTGGCTAATAGGGCTGCTAATATTATCCATGAATCGGTAAAGTAATAAGGAAATAGATTGGGTAGCACCAGATTGCTTGGGCGGCTTGTATTGATATGATTTCTCTTGAGGTGACGGGAAAGATTTTTGGATTGGTGAGTTTGACTGTCAAAATTTTAATGGTGGTAAGATCATGACGGTTTTGAAGTTTGATAATATTGAGATTTGCTGGTAAGTATAAAATTTTATTGGAAATAGTACGCTCGACACCTAATTTTGCTTTAATTGGTTTGTTCATTTTCCTTTGAAGGATATCCATTTTGTTATCTGATGGGACTGCAGCATTGATAGCGTATTCTAATTGTGCTGGTATAATCCAATAAGAAGCTTATCTAGTTATTAAGCCATTTCATTTTTTTTGCGATGAAATTGCATTGATGAACTTTTGGATATTTTCTAATAGCTTATTTTTTGTAGAACAAGATGAAGATTTGCCTGAGAGATAAACTCCAAGGTATCTGATGCCCTCCTTATATGGTCTAGGGTAGATTTTTTCCCCTTCAACTGTGAGGAATTGGTTTCTTTTTTGATTGGATGTTTTGAGATTGGTGATTAATTCAGTTTTTTTGTGATTGCATTTGATGGAATTAAGAGATAAGAAGGAATAATAGATGTTTGTTACTTCTTGGAGGACTTGCATATTAGAGCTTGCTAAGGTAACATCATCCATGTAAGCAAGGATTTTGGAGGTTGAAGAGTATTCAGTTAATATTTTGGTTACTACAGGGACATAAAAGATGGTCCAAAGTAATAGAGCTAGAGGTTCCCCTTGATCAATCCCTTTGCTTACTTTTAGGGATTTGGTAAGTTCATAATAGGTTATTATTTTTAGTTCTCTTTCATTTAAGAGATCGGTGATGAATGAGGTGAATTTGTTTAGCAGTTTGATACGATTCATTGCTTTCTTGAGGCTGGTGATATTGACAGAATCAAAAGCTTTGGAGATGTCGAATTATGCTATCCATATTTCCTTGTTGAAATTATTAGCGGTATTGATGCATGAGCTAATAATTGCAATTGGTTCAGTGGTACTTTGGTTTTGGAAGCTAGCGAAATTGGATTCTGAGAGAGCATTATGCCTTAGAATACAATTAGCAAGTTTGTCGTTAGTGATTTTTGTGAAAATTTTTCTGCTTGTTTTGATAAGTAAGATCGGGCATGTGTCAGTGAGATCATGTGACCAGACAAGTTTTTTGGGTAATACTGTAATGGTTGATTGTTTTCAGAATTTAGGAATTTGACCTGATATTAGAATATCGTTGAATAGAGCTAAGATAATTTTTTTTGCATGTGGACCTATTTGGATCCAAGCTTCATAAGGAATAAGGGTGAGCCTGGGGGCTTTATGTTTGGGAAGGTCAGTGAGGACTTCTTTCAGATCCTGCATAGATAATATTGAAACAAAATTATCATAGGCATTGTCAGGGATGTGGTTCAGTGATTCATAATCTGCTAACCATTCGTTATTAATAACAAATGGTTTGGGGTCTAGGATTTTTTTGAAGTGATCAAATATGATAGTTGCAAACCTGTCAGGTTCATCATGGAGTTGGTTGTCTTCTCCTAGAAGGATTGAAAGGTCGAGAGAGGGTCTCAGATCTTCTAATGCTTTTTTGAGAGTGTTTTTAGACCTGGTCCAAAATCTATGATAATTTGATTCTATACCTTTTTGTACTTCTTGGATAATAATATTATTTAATTTAAATAATTTTTTCTTGATTAAAGTTTTCAGCAGTTTTTGAAGATCTTTGATGCAAGGACGATTACTGGTAATTTTTCGTAAAGCTAATGAGGCGATGGCTGGAAGTCTTGAGAAGACATCTTCACTGTTATTGTTTTTTGACGCATTAATTGCTCTCTTGGTGACTCTTATGGCACTGAAGTAATGTTTGAGAGGGTCTATGTTACGGGTGGGTGTCATGCACTTTCGCTTTGGAATGTTATTGTCAAGAGAGTTTTTGATGGCGTTATTCATAAAGTCCCAGGTTGAAGTGTTGCTTGTTAGGCATGCGAGTTCAATATTCTCTTTGAATCCTTTTATGTTTTCTGGAGTAGCATCCTTGAATTGATAAATATTGGTATTGAAGCATATTCTGTTAGGTTTATATTCAAACCAATCCAATATAATGGTCACTTGTTTATGATCGAAGATTATGGCTGTTTGTTCCTGAACTTTATATGAAAGTATTTTGCTTGCCAGATTACTGGTGATCCATACTTGATCAATTCTAGAAGCGCTGTTGTTTGTGATGTGTGTATACCTATGCTCATTGTTTGTTATTTTACTAATGTCAATGAATTTTTGGAGATATCGATATATATGTCTCTTGTGAACTGTTATATAAGCATATATGTGGGGGCAGAGGAGGAGTACTTGTTAAAGTCTCCTGCAAGAATGATGTGTTTACTAGAGTGCTCTCCGATAAAGTCCTTTAGGGTTTTAACTACTATTTTCCTGAGGTCGTGTTTATGGAAAAGATAACATAAGATAATTATAATGTCCACTTTGGATTTGAATTTGAGATGGATTGCACACCAAAACTCGTTAAGGGCAAAGGTTTTAAAGATATGATTAGTGATAGCTTTGGTTAAAAGAATGGCTGCTCCATTGTTGGCAAAATCCTTGAGTAAGCTAGTAATGATTGTGATATTGTTTAGAGATGTAGGAAGTGGTTTTGATTTTGTGATTTTTGTCTCTGAGCAGCAAAGAATGTATCTATCACTTGTAATAGACTTGGTAAGTTCTGATACTTTTGCATGGCCATTAAGACCTCTGATGTTGAGGGTAGATAACATAATGAGATTTTTAAGAGATGCTATAATAGAGTTTGTTTGAGAATGGATTGATTTAATAGGTATGGAAGACAAGGGAGTGATAGTTGATGTGCTAGTTAACAATGAATGACTTGGGTTAATCGTTGTATACATTATTTATATAAGTTTTGATAAGAGAGTCAGAACTGGGTCAGGTGACTCAGGTTCAATTAGAAATTCTGGTGGTAGTTTCTCGAAGTGGAATATTTTCCTAAGGGCATTAAGTTTGTTCGTGAGTAACCCATCTTCAATTATTGGGAGGGTTATTGTACTGCTTTCAGATCTGAGAATGGTTTGAGCTTTTTCGAGATTGGGAAGGTCTGGTAGGATCGGTGTTATCCATTGTTTTGGGATATGACCAAAGTATTTCTCTTTAATTATTTTGACAGTTACAGTGAATTCAGGGTATTCTCTATTCAACTTGTCACTAGTTATTCCGAGCTCTTCTTCTACTTGAGAAAAGTTACTTGGAATGTGAGGCTTTTCACTCTGGATAAACCTTCTTTGATCCACTTAGGTTCAATGGGAAGTTTGAAAAAGAATTCGGTTTTTAATTGCCTAATAAAACCTTTAACCTCGTCTTGATTGTTAATAGGGAGAATAATTCCATAATTTTTGCTGTACCAGTATACTGGTGGGAGAGGTCTTTTGGTTATGATGTAGTCTGCCAGTAGTTTTTTTACAGCATAAGATTCATTCCTCAAAATTTGCACAGCTTCTTTGATGTCAGCAACATTGTTGCTTACTGGGAAGTAACTAATCAGGTTTTTTGAAAGGTCTTTATAGGATGAAGGGAGCGGTTCCTTTGGAGGCAGAAGGCAGAAGTATAATTTGGGAAGCTTATTTGACACATAATAGTGCTCTCTCAGTTTGTCGACTAGTTTTCGGAGGTCTCTAAGATCTGCTCTCTTTATCAGAGAGAAAATGTCTTGTACTTCAACTTTCAAATGAGATGGGTTCTCTGGAAGATTGGACCTTTTAACAAAATATGAAGGGGAAAGCAGGTCAAAATTGTAGTATGCTCTAAGGCACTGTGCAATTTCTCTTGCATGTTTGGGTGAAGTGATGGGGATGGCTTTAGAAAGCTTGATTTTGATAGAGGTGGGGATTAAATCGGGTAAGGCTGGGAGGTCAGGTAGTTTCATCTTGATAAGTTCTTCGTATTTATTATAAAGGTCCTGATAATTTATTTTTGGGAGGGAAGGATCAAAAAAGAAATTAAAGCCGTATTCGAGTAGTTGAGCAGCTTGCCAGTAGCTGAGTTTTGTGAGATCAAAGGACCTGAGGTAGGCTGCAAAAAGAGCTTTGTTAATGATAACTCTGATTTTTTTCCTGGTTGTTTTGATAATATAACCAATATTGTTGGCATTAAGGTAATTGACTTTGAATTCACCCTCAATTTTTTCGTATTCCACTTGGTGCTGTCCTTTAATCAACTCTTCTTTAGTGAATGTTCTGAAAAAGTCTCAGTCTCTGTGATCTATTTTTGAAAAGATGGCCTTTAGGGAAGGCCTCGAGTAATCTCTAGGTTCGTCTCTGAATTTTAAAAAAAGATTGACAATGGCTTCTGGGGATCGATCACATAAGGTAATTTCATTACAAAAATCAAGGATCTTTTGCTATTCATCTTCTGGTGGTGTTAAACAAATATCATTGGATGGATTATTAGTAGATAGTGTGGCTGGTGTGGTTTCAGTATCATCTGCCCATGATTGAGTGTCTATTAAGTCTTCTTTTTGTGATTGGGTCAATGGTAGGTGATTATCAATTTCCATTTCAAAGTCTGTTTGGGCCTCGTGTGATGACAAAATATGGCTTACGTTAGTTGTTTCATAATCACCCAGGTTTGTGTTGTCTAACGGTAATACGCATTCAGGGTGGAGGCAGGGATTGTCACTGGAGAAGAATCAAGCTGTATGATATTGTTATTGATCATCATATCATAATCGATCCTTTCCTCAATAGAGGCAGGAGTGTTTGGAGGGGGTAAGGGAGTTTTGGTTTTTCTGTTCAGGGTGAAAGTTTTTTGTTTTTCGTTAGTAAGGATTTCAAGCTTGTCCCAAGGAATATGAAGGCTATAGTTTAATTTTTTTTCATTATTTCTTTCATGATATCCGTTCTGTCATCATCAGTTAAGTGAAATATATGTTGAAATTCTAAAAAGGTGTTTAGGTCAGCGATCATCATTTTCTCAGGGATGAAGAGAGTAAGAATTATAAGCTGGGCAGAGAGTCTTGTTTTTTGGTAGTCTTCAAAAGTAACAACGATTACTTGAATGTCTTCTTCCACATTTTTAGGGGAGCGGACTGGAGTTAGCCAGACTTTTGAACAATTACCGAATTTAGGAAGATAAGTGGATTGAGTGGATAGGGTGATGAAAATTTTATTGGTTTTTGTATTTTTGTAGATAATAATAACTTGGGGAGGGTCTATGTTTGTAACCAAAACATCCAAAAGGATATATTCAGCATTGGATGTGTGATCTTTGGAGGCAGAAACTCCTCTAAGGTCCTTTGTTTTTCCTTTAAGCAAAGAAATTTTTTCTTTATTTTTTAAGTTTTCTTATATGGTAGTTTTATTCAGACATGAAAGAGTTTTTGAAGATAAATTTATTTTACATTTAATATATTGCAATTACATGTTATAACATATAAATATATATATATTTTTAAAAATAATGAGAATAATGACTGACAATGTATTAAATAACTTATCATTTATTAAATCATTGAAAGAATGAGGAAATTTACAAGCAATTTCTTTTGATACAGAAGAGAACCATTTTCGATGTCTTGCATACTGCATTAATATTAGGGTTCAAAAAATCTTGAATATACTTTCAAATAAATTGCAGAAGGTAAATTTTTTATAGATAGGTTATTTTATTTTTATGTTTGTAACTAACTTATATATATATAGTTGCATAGACTTATTGTAAAAATACAATTATTATCTCAGTAATGTGAAAAATTAAATGTAGCTTGCAAGTTCCTAGGAATGGAAGCTTTGAAACTAATTTTGGATATAGAAATACACTGGAATTCAACATATGAAATGGTGACCCGTACTATATAGCCAAAAGTAGTAAGTTTAATTTGTTTTTATTAATATTTATTTTAATTTTAATTTTAAAAAATTTATATATAAGCAATCAAGTATATTACGATGTCCAGCCAAAAACTAAAACAACATATATTTGCTAATGATAATTAGAATATATTCAGATAGGTTGTAGAATTTAAAGAAATAATAGAAATAATTTCAGCTTCAAGCTATCTGACACTTTTTTCAATCATCCCTGGGTATAATATATTAATAACCATTTAGAAGATATGTGTAGTAAAAAAGAAGCTGACAAAATAATAAAAGAAGCAGTTGTTGCTTATTTAGAAAAATTTAAAGGGTACTAT